GKWAAAAAATGTCATGACAATCTGTCCACAAGTTTTTGAGTAATGTCCACAGACAGAACRACAGACAGAMCGACATACGYGACCGAAAACATTACTTCCTTGGCGAAGGTAATAACCTCAGTTGTATTTGCTGCCTCAGATTCAGTCACCAGTGTGGTTTGACTAGAGTGAGGAAACTGATGTGTGGTCGATGTGTCAGCTGAGGCAATGGTTCCACTGTGCTTTACTGGCTGTGAATCACAAATGTTGTCCTTACTTTTTGTTAAGTAAAAACGCAAAAGAGGCAGTTTTGTCTGTTCGTACAGTTCTCYGACTGTAATKTGTTCATCCAGGGAACGCTCCTGAAAATCATTTGTCAACCTCAAAATCTGTGATTCTTCCCTCTGCATTTTTTCTGACCAGGACAAAAACAACTCTGAAGCTTTTTCTATCAACTCATTTTTTCTAGTTTTTTTGACACATCTATTTTTCTTGTTCCTCCACCTTTTTTTTTGTCCTTACTTGAAAAATATTTCCATTACGAAAGTTGAGCCAACCCAGCTCGAGTTTTCTTACAGTCTTCTCTACATTCTTAGAGTTTTCCTTTTCTGACACATACTCATAATCACCTGTTTTTTGTTTTGTTTTGTTTTTTTGTTTTTTTGAATATCTTTGCTCTCACTCGGTCAAAAAGTTTTGACTTGCCGCCAACAGAGTCTTTTCCTGTTCATCTGCAAAATCCAAGAACTGCCAGTCGGTCACCATAATTTGGCAGATACACTTTGAGCTGCTCATCCGTCACGAGCAGTAAAACACTGGAATCAATCTACAGATAAAGAAAGAAAATACTTTAAAGAAAGAAAATACTTTAAGAAAATAGTTTTACCGTAACAGAAGTAGTACACAGTGCTGAAAATAAAAATGTTAAATGGCTTGAACTTATTAAAAAGCACATTTTGAAACATTTTTCTTTGCTTTGTTTGGTACAGATTATTCAATAATGCTGATTTTCTTATCAAACTAACTACCTTGTCTTTTTCCAGTTGCTGAATGATTTCTTCTGAAACATTCTTTGACTACAGCTCATCCATCCTGTGACACTTATAAACACAAACTTACTAAAAATGTATCTGATGGGAAAGCAGAATTAAAAAAAACAATGAGTGGTTATTTACTGTTTGTCTTAAAATACAAAAGATTACTTTGTTTGTACAAGATGTTTCTGTGGTCTACAAAAATAAGCAGATATGTTTTCTAATTTAGGTTTAGTGACACTCATGCATTGCTGATTACTTAATGTGTCAAAATATGAGAAAATTTATCTTGTTTGTTCTTGTTTGTGTGATTTAATTTTACTCTAGACATATGAAAAGACAAACCAATTTTTAAATATCTTTTCATTCTTTTTAGATTACAACAACCAAAGGGAACTTATTTCCAAGTAATTTATTATACTTAAAAACAGTGAGGACATTAATTTCCATTTAGCTCTTCTTAAATTCAGGTCAAGATTATTCTCCTTAGATGAACCAGATGATCCAAAAGTTGGGGGGTACCAGCATTGAAATGACCACATTAGTGCATGGCATGTCCGATATTTAAAAACCTATCTGATTAAGTCTAAGATGTGTACATCATATAAATTGTACATCAGTCGACCACCATCACGTTTATTCCAACAACAAAGTGGAAGCAAAGACGTTGAAGCTAAATTATACTATTTATATAAATTTTAGGTTGTAATTCAACTAAATTTGTTTATTCAAACAAATAAAATTAACACTCGTCTGGTAATGATCACCAAAACACCTTACCGTGCACATTATCATATTTTCAGGGCAGTAGCCTAATTTTCAGTTAAAACTAGCATAAAACGAGCTCGATGGTTAGCATGTAGCTACGTTTGTTAGAGTGGCTTTAAAAGCCTGTAAACATATCACTGTACTGTGTCCAGCTGTAAGTTTACTGTAAACATATCACTGTACAACTGTCCAACTGTAAGTTTACTGTAAACATATCACTGTACTGTGTCCAACTGTAAGTTTACTGTAAACATATCACTGTACTGTGTCCAGCTGTAAGTTTACTGTAAACATATCACTGTACTGTCCAGCTGTAAGTTTACTGTAAACATATCACTGTACTGTGTACAGCTGTAAGTTTACTGTAAACATATCACTGTACTGTGTACAGCTGTAAGTTTACTGTAAACATATCACTGTACTGTGTACAGCTGTAAGTTTACTGTAAACATATCACTGTACTGTGTCCAGCTGTA